AGAAAAGGTTTTTGTGATCCGTAAAAATGAGGATGGGGTCCTTAGTACCTTCTAAAAGATGTCAACACTCCTTGAGTGCTAAAACAATAGCAAGGAGTTCCCGATTGTCTATGTCATAGTTCTTTTCGGCTTTGGACATCTGTTTGGAAAAGAAGCCACAAGGATGTAATGGCTTATCAGGTGATTCTCTTTGAGATAAGACAGCACCTACCCCAATATCCGAAGCATCAACTTCAAGAATATATGGCAAAGAAGGGACAGGATGCTGTAAAATTGGAGCAGAGGCAAACGTGGTTTTAAGAAATTCAAAGGCCTCAAGCGCCTCTGGGGACCAGACACGAGTATTTTTTATTTTTTTTGAATTCTTTCTTTTATTGAGGTATAGACTTTACGGGTATAGAATAAAGAAAGGGAGACAATAAAAGTCATACAGGATGGGGTATCACAGTTTACCATACAACATCTCCGAAACTTGTCAGCCTCTTTTTTATTTTTAAGTAATGTGTAGTAAAGGCATTATGTAGCGTTAGGTGCCTGCCTGCTTGTGTCAAGGTATAGCTTGTAGTTGGTATCAAGGCACCTTTGAATGTGCTAGTGTTGAGCGTGGGGCCTTAGTTGGGTGAGCTAGGGAAGGTATGTGTGTCTCAGCTGGGTGTGGTCATCTAAGTCGCTAGCTGAGAGTGCAGCATGTAGTGTGCTGTATATTTCAAGCTGTGTAACGCACTCTGGTTGTTAGGGGGGGGGGTAAAAATGGCTCAATACGTATGATTATTATGAAGGCTTACGGAGCCAGTATTGTGCGGGTTTGGGGAGAGCATGATATTAAGTAGCAGCATTGTTGGAAGGAAAAGGGAGAATAAAAACAGAAATAAAAAACAATAACCAACAGCATCAGTATTGTGTATAACCAAGAACAAACGTGGAACGAATCAGGTATGTCCCTTGTCCGGCGCAACAGGTTAAGGGCGTGTGGGCCCTGCTCTGCTGCTGCTTCAGGTTGGTAGGGCAGAGGTTTTCTGAGCCTCTCTTCTAGGCACGAAGGGGGTAATCTCCTCTACAGACCATGTTGGATGGGTCAACTGCTGTGTCGTTAGCGCTGGAAGGCCGAGTGCCTGCAGGAAGGATGGTATATCAGATGCGTGAGACAGCTTATGTGTTTCGCCCGCCTTTTCTGCCTGTAGTCGGCGTGGGCCCCATTTGTAGGGGATGGCTTGTTCCCGGAGTAGCTGGGTAACTGGGCGAAAGGACTTCCTCCACATCATGGTGTGTCTGGAGAAGTCTTTGTAGAACGTTAGTTGTGCCCCTTCAAACGCCACCGTGGGGGAGCCTCTTGAAGCCCCCATAATCATGCCCCTGTCAGAGTCCCGCATAAATTTAATCAGTACGTCACCAGCTCCTTCGCGTGGTGTGGCGGCCGCCCTGGTGAGTCTGAAACAAGAGTCTATCGTGATCAACTTAGCTTGTCTTGGCGTAAGTAAAGTAGCTATCAGCCGTCGGCAATAGTGCAGCAATTGCGAGCCGGTGAGTGTCTCCGGCACTCCACGAACCCGCAGGTTTCTTGCCTTGTACCGGTCTTCCATGCCAGCCAGTTGGGTTTGTTGGTCTGCGTATTGCTTGCGGAGTAAGTTCAGCGCTGCGTCCGTGGCACTTTGCGCCAGTTTAGTGTCCCTCAGGCCCTCTTCCACATTTGCCACTTTATTGGTGAGTGTAGCTACGTCTGCCCTTACTTGCGCCATGTCTGCTTGGAACATAGCCTGAATGTCCTTCACCAAAGCTTTGATATCCGCCTTGGTGGCTGGAGCAGCGTCCCCCATGTCTACGGGTCTCAGTGGCAGTTGTTGCGTGCGGGTCGGCAGTGCAGTCTCTGCATAGTAGCTATCCTCGTCCGAGGATTGTGAGGCATAGATCTCGGGCGCCATCTTGGCTTCAGCAGGCCGCGATGCGGCTCGGAGAAAAGCCCCTATATCTCCGGATCCCATGCCCGGATCCGCCCTCTGCTTCTTGTTCTTCTTCCCCATATTGTCGGTAAGCTGTGAACCGGTTTAGGTGCCCGGTGTGTGCGGGGATTATGGCTCCGAGCGAGTTAATTGAGCGTGTCGCACGGAGCTGTCTGAGGATGCGGCCGGTTAGCTCGGGTGCTGGCTCCGCCCCCAGAGAGACACGAGTATTGCCATCCTTTTTAGTCATGCGTGTTATAGGCACTACAATAGAAGAAAATCCTTTAATAAAGCATCTATAATAATTAGAAAACCCAAGAAAACGCTGAATGGCTTTCAGTCCCTGAGGTAAAGGCCATTCCATGACAGCAGAAAGCTTCTGGGGTTCCATACGAAAACCTTTAGCAGAAATTACATAACCTAAAAACTGTACTTCGGATTGGTCAAATAAACATTTTTCTAGTTTACAGTAAAGACCATTAACAAGAAGGGTTTTCAAGACTGTTTTAACATGCATGTCATGGGTATGTAAATCTGTTGAATATATTAATATGTCGTCCAAGTACACTATCACAAATGAGTGAATGAACTCTCGTAAGACGTCATTAATAAATTCTTGAAACACTGCTGGGGCGTTACAAAGACCGAATGGCATCACGGTATACTCGTAATGACCACTCCTAGTATTGAATGCAGTTTTCCACTCATGGCCCTTTTTTATACGTATGAGATTGTATGCACCTTTAAGGTCCAATTTAGTAAACACAGTAGCTTGTTTAAGCCTGTTTAATAATTCCGTGATCAATGGTATAGGGTAAGCATTTTTTATAGTGGTTTTATTTAGGCCCCTATAATCAATACAAGGTCTTAAATCGCCCTCCTTCTTCGATACAAAGAAGAACCCTGCCCCTGCCGGAGAAGAGGATCTCCTTATAAATCCCTTTTGTAGAGATTCTTTAATATATTCCTCCATGACAAGATTTTCTTGCGGAGACAAAGGATACACCCTGCCTTTGGGAGGTATAGTGCCAGGCAATATATCAATAGCACTATCGTAGGGTCTATGAGGTGGTAATTTTTCAGCCTCCCTCTTATCGAAGACAGACTTAAGACACATGTACTGAGGAGGTATAATAGTAGACAAAGGAGGAGTAGTAGGAACATTAATAGAATTCAAAGGGGTGATTTTAATTATACAAGACTCTTGGCAGGTTTCACTCCAAGATACTATTTGTCCTGACTCCCAGTCAAAAATGGGATTGTGAGAACGTAACCATGGGTACCCTAACACAATGTGAGAGGAAGGAGAGGTGATGACCTGAAACCGAATGGTTTCTGAGTGTAACATCCCTGTATACATATACAAAGGTTCAGTTTCATGTGTGATAACTGGGGAGCATAATGGTCTACCATCTATGGCCTCAACGGCCATGGGTGTCTTCTTCTCTCTAATGGGTACTTTGTTTTTCCTAACAAATCTAGAGTCTATGAAATTCTCAGCTGCCCTGGAATCAACCAGGGCTAGTATGTTTCTTGCTATGGAATTATTCTCCAGATGCAGAGAAACAGGGAGAAGTAGTCGATTAAGAGGCAATTTTGGGGACTTAGATATCACACCCAAGGCCAGTCCCCTATATGGCCTTAGGTGCGATAGTTTTCCGGAAGCACAGGACATTCTTTTAGCATATGACCCTTCTCACCACAGTATAGGCAAAGTCCCTCCTTTCTCCTATACAATTTTTCAGCATCAGAGAGTTTGGCAACCCCTAAAAGCATGGGTTCCTCCTCTGATCCTTGAAACTCTAGGAGTATTTAATGTAACAAAACATCTATTCCTATTCTTAGTATAGAGTCTGTCACGAATCCTATTGTCTATATCAATGAGATAGTCGATAAGGTCCTCTAATGGGATAGGAAGATCCCTAGCTGCTACCTCATCCAATATAGTATCAGATAGTCCTTCCATGAATGCTGTAGTTAGCCCATTGTTGGTCCAATCTACCTGCGAAGCAAGGGTACAAAACTGAATAGCATAATCAGCAACAGACCTAGAACCCTGTTTAATTCTCATTAATACCCTGGCGGCATTCTTTGACCTTTTAGTTGTGTCAAAGGTTCTACGAAAAGCCGTAAGGAAGCTATCAAAATTATGCACCATAGGTCCATTAGCTTCCCATATAGGATTTGCCCACTCAAGTGCTTAATCAGTAAGTTGGTGCATAAAGAATCCCACTTTAGACCTGTCAGTGGGAAAGGAACGTGGATACATCTCAAAGTGGAATTTCACTTGATTAATGAATCCCCTGCAAGACTTAGCATCCCCTCCATACCTGGGTGGAGGGGTTAAATGTGCAGAGGCATTAGGCATGGTGGATACATCTGGAACAAGGGGTGCAGGAGGAGTTGGTACTGTTACCGGAGTAGCTCTAGATAAGAGTGTCTGGAGGGCCTGAGCTATCTGATCCATACAGTGATCCTGCTCTGTAAATCTAGCCTCATGAGAAGCCAATTGCTGACTTAAATCTGCGGGGTCCATGGCCCTATCGTAATGTCACAGTAGTTTACCCCTACACGCAAGATTTAGTTCAACAATCGACAGAGCAGATTCGATTTACCGGACCTTAGAATGGCCGGACTCGACGTAGAGCAGAGAATAGACAGAGTCAAGAACAAGCCGAGGTCAAGGGAACAAAGAGACTGCGAGAACAAAAACTAGCCAAGGTCTGGTACACAGTAGTCAGTAAGCCGGCAAACAAGACAAAACAGGGATAGAGAGATAAACGGAGTCAGATACAAAGCCAAGGTCAAACACAAAAATCACAACTGAACAAGCGCTAAAGGGAACTGAAACAGAAACCACGATAGGGCAGGGAGTTAAGGGAGAGGTAAGTATAAATACCCTAAACTTTACATTGATTGGCCCCTGTCATATCCACGCCCTCAAAATGTGAGTGTCTGGGGAATGTGGGATGACAGGGGCCAATGGGAGCACATTTCATCTTTTGGCTCCCACTGCCCCTTTAAGAGCGTGCCTGAGATGCGCGGCACGCTTAGAGCTAGGCGGGACACGTGACCGCATCTTGCGGTCCGTGCCCGCCTTCATTCGAGAGCCGCGCGCGGCAGGAAGTGAGGACCTCGGCCGCCCCCCGGGTAAGGTAAGTATCGCTACAGCACTTGGACCCCAAGTCGGAACAAATCTGGGAACAGCCCAAAGCAACTTACCCTATTCGCCACACCACATGCCAGGCTGGGGGAACACACCGATCTGCCCGCCAAATGGTATGTACGTAAGCTCACTTCGGCCGGTAACTTCAATAACAGGGGGCCGTAGTCGAGTTCGAAAAGATCGCGCTGGAGAATAAGTGCTGGATGAGTGCGGGATAAAAAGGACTTGTAGTCTACGCGTTTCGTCTTAAATCAAGCCTTTCTGAAGATTAAAGTCCATTAAGTGCATACTAGGTATAAATACCGTTACTCACAAATGTCTAATAAGTGAAACAATGACGTCATAGTGGGTGGAAAATAACACTTTTTTTTAAAAACGGTAATTCGTTGATGATTGAATTGAACATATAGGAACAGCAATATTTTGACACAACATGCAAATATAAGTAAAACAAGATTCTTAAATAACTATTCGTAAAAGTTAAACATACAGTCTATAAATATGTCGATTTAGATGACGATCTGAAACTTGTGCATCCCAGTTTTTATATGTGTTATTTTCTTACATTTTGTATCATGAGTATTTTCAAATAGCACCAAGATACTAATGATTGCTAAATGCCTGCATATATTAGCAACAAACAGTGCATATACAAAAATAAATAATACCCAGAGACTGATACATGTTGTAAAAATAAAATTGTAAAGGTGATCAACCCCTAACAATCAGGTAATTCATAGGGAAGAATAAATACATCCTGCTATGGAAAAAGATCTAAGTTGACTCAATACAAAAAGGAAAAATTGTAGGGACATTCTATGTGTAGATCAAAATCATGGGGCTAGAAGAAGAAAGAATAAGGATATATCCCTCAAGTTAAGTAATCTGTTCCAGCTCCTCATTGAGCTCATAAGGATTTAGCGTATTCAATTTGAAAATCCACTTTGTATCAGCAGTGATGAGGGCTTTTTTCCTATTTAAAATATTGTTTTTTTTCAGGAATTACTTCTATCCCCATCACTGAGATATGTATTGGGTCACTGTCATGTATAGACTGGAAATGCCTGGATACCCGGGATTTTTTATCATAATGAATGATCGCCCATCTGTGCTGTCTAAATCTAGTTTTAAGTGTTCTAGGGGTTTGTCCTACATATAAAAGACCACATGTACATGTGAGGAGATAGACCACAAATGTGGAGCTGCATGTAATCCTTGAGTTACTTACAAATTTTCAGTCACCAGACGAGGGAACAAAATCTGATATCCAATGACAAATATATTGACAAGTGAGGCAACGTGTCGAGCCACATCTAAAATTGCCTAATTTGTAATGTGTCAATTGATTCATAGGTCCTGTAGAGGTCAATTTGGAAGGGGCTAGTATGTTTTTTCCGATTCATATGTCTTCTGAAGATGACTCTAGGTGCCGTAGATATACTAAAATGTAACCATGGGTGTTACTGCAAGATTGGCCAGTGCTTGTGAAGAATTTGGATAATATGATCATATGCATTATTAAAAACTGTGGTGAAAATGGGGCCTTTGTTCATAGAAACATCCTTAGTGCTGATGTTAAATTTGTTCCGGTTCTTCTTTAATCTCAGAGGTTGCTTTTCCAATAAGGATAGGATAGCCTCATGTGAATCCGATGATAAAGGGGTATGAAAGGATTGGGTGAAGAATGATCCTTGATGGATGACTCAAGGAAGGAACTTCTGTTAATGTTTCTAGCTTTATTGTAAGAACAGAGAATCATATTTGGGTCATAATCTTTGTCCAAAATGCATTGACAAAGATCAAGTGATTCTTCTTCAAAGTGTTCTAATAAAGAATATATTCTCACAATCTTACAAATTGGCTAAACGGTATATTATTAACCCACGTTCGGTGGTGTCCACTTGTGGAATGTAAAAAACCAGTGACATCAACTGTTTTTTTTTTTTTTTTTAAAGGTTTTAGCTAACACATATCCAGGTTTTCCACATAGTATTAAATCAAGAAATTCAATCTTTAATTTATTATTTTTACTTGTAAATGAAAGCCCCAAATTGTTAGTGTTGAGATTGTTGACAAAGTTCTCTATATTATCATAATCACCTTTCCAGATGACTACTATGTTGTCAATAAAAGTCTATAAAATGCTATGCGTTCACTCCACATAGGATTATTTAAAACATGGGTAGATTCCCAAAGTCCCATAAATAAATTAGCATTAGATGGGGCAAAGCTTGCCCCCATTGTTGTACCTTTTGTTTGCAGGTAAAATTGACCTTTAAAGTTAAAGTAATTGTGAATTAAAATAAACGAGACACTCTCTAGCAATGCCTCCGCCTGACCTCGAGGAAGGAGTGGCCTTTAGACCTAAATTATGGTCTATATTAGAGTAGAGAGCCGTAACATCAATTATTAGCCAACAGTAGTTGTCCTGCCACTTTATCACCTGCATCAAAGATAAGACATGACGAGTGTCTTTGATATAGGAAGGTAGGTTAATAACAAATTTCTGAATATGAATGTCCACCCACTTGGAAAGAGGAGCTGGTAAGGAACCAATTGACGAGATAACAGGCCATCGAGGGGGATAGCTTAGAGACTTAGCAGAGAAGTAAAACAAGAGATTAAAAATAAGAAAAGGGCATTTAAAATTCGGACAAATCAGAGGCATCCTATGTAAGATATAAGGAAGCCAATAATGCTTTTAAAAAGGCAATTACTAGATTACTAGATTTGCCTAAACTAGAAAATGAGAAACTGATAGCCAGAGAATGCAAAACCAACCACAAAATGTTTTCAAGTACATCAATTCTAAAAAAATGAAAGTGAAGGTACACTGGAAACAGAGATGGGTTTGTTAGCTAATGAAGACCAGGAAAAGGCAGACATTTTAAATAACTTTTTCTTCAGTATATATTAATGAGAATCCTATGGCAAGAACTGATAGCCAGAGAATGCAAACCCAACCACAATTTAATTTTTCAAGATTCTTTTGTTTCAGGTATTGTACCGGAGGATTGGAGGATGGCAGATGTCGTTCCTATATTTAAAAAGGGTTCAAAATCCTTGCCTGGAAATAGACCTGTGAGCTTAACTTCTGTGACTGGGAAAATATTTGAAGGGCTATTAAGGGATAATATTCAGGAATTCATTGGGAAGAACGTTGTTATTAGCAATAATCAGCATGGTTTTATGAAACATAGGTCATGTCAAACTAACCTAATTGCATTCTCTGAAGAAGTAAGTAGAAGTATGGGGTGTTGCAGTGGATGTGATCTACTTGGATTTTGCCAAGGCATTTGATACGGTTCTCTACAATAGGTTACTCTTCAAGAAAAAGAAATTGGTCTAAAAGAAATTCGTCTAGATGAATATTCTTGTTCTTTGGTAGAACATTGGCTTAAGGATAGAGTACAATGAGTTGTCATTAATGGTAAATTTTCAGGCTGGACAAAAGTGGTAAGTGGTGTCCCTCAGGGTTCTGTTTTGGGACCACTTCTATTTAACATATTTATAAATTATCTTGAAATAGGCATCGAAAGCCATGTTTCAGTGTTTGCAGATGACACAAAACGTTGTAAAGTAATAAAATGTGAGCAGGATATTGCTTTTCTGCAGAGGGATTTAGATAGAATGGGGGATTGGGCATTAAAATGGCAGATTTAATTTAATGTAGAGAAATGCCATTATCTGGAAATCTATTCATAAACAGGGCTATACATAAGACACAATGTCATACATTTAGGCTGGAAGAAGGGAGCTTTCATCTAAGGCAAAGGAAATGTTTTTTTTTTTTTTACAGTAAGAGCAATAAGGATATGTAATTCTCTGCCTGAAGAGGTGGTTTTATCAGAGTCTATACAGATTTTTAGGCTGCAATTGGATAAATACTTGCAAAAACATAACATACAGGGATATAATTTCTATTTAGTGGGGTAATAGCTGCTTGACCCAAGGAGACATCTGACTGCTATTTTGGGGTCAAGAAGGAATTTTTTCCTAGTTTGTTGCAAAATTGGAAGAGCTTCAGACTAGGATCTTTGCCTTCTTTTGGATCAACAGCAAAAACATATGTGAGGAAGGCTGAACTTGATGGACACAAGTCTCTTTTCAGCTATGTAACTATGTAACTATGAATGCTTTTTCCAATTTTTCAATGATCCCCTTATTAAACATGGTATCTACTAGTGTGCGTAGTTCTTTAGTGAATCGAACCGTGGGATTGCTGGTGAGGGTTTTGTAATAAACCTTATCACCCAAAATATGGTTAGCTACTTTTAGATAATCTTCTCTATTGAGGAGGACAATCCCTCCCCCCTTATCCACCCCCTTTATAATGATATTCTGGTTGTTTTTGAGATCTCTTAGGGCTCCCATTTCGGATTGAGTAAGATTATTATGGGGGATAGATTTCCTATGATTAGTGCTCATATTGGAATCTAGTGCCTTAAAGTCTTTCATCACTAGCTCGTAAAATATGGGTATAAAGTTTCCTTTGTCGGCAACTAGATAGTATGTGCAGGGGGGTTTCAGACCAGTGGTCACATTGGCATTCAATACCTCTAGGGTATCAATCTCAGTATTGGACTCATATTGCTCATTTCAAAGATTCATTAGATTCATTATTTTATGCTTATTATTGGAGTGCTCACACACACATATGTTTGATGGCTTATATATTTATCAGTTGCTCTAACTGGTTGTGACGCAGCCCTCTAGTTTATATATCTATAGTGATATTGAATTAATTACATTTGTTTTTCTAATTCAGTTCCTTACTACATTTTTAAACCCAATCTGACCAATACAAATAAATACTTAATGTTGTATACCACTGTATTCTTCATGCACACTGTCACTCAGCACAAGTTAACTTTGGGGATGATGGGTAATAAAAACAGTCTTAAACATCTGGCCCTCTGAGGCCTATGTTGGAAAATTATATATCAAAATATATGGTTTAAATCACGAAAGGATTATTTTTTTCTTAATAACTTCATATGGGTGAAGAGTATATCTAACAGGGAACCACTGGGTGGGAATGGGGACTTTATTAGCCATTGTCAAGAGTTGGCAACCCTGTGGCCACAACTTAATATTGCTGTCCTG